CCGTGGTCGTTGTTCTCATGGGAAAAAATCTTTGGCCAATTGCTGTAAGCCTTTACGATGCTCAGAAAAATTTGACCGTTCACGAGACCCGCATAGTCCACATATATCCTCGACCATGGATTTTGTGGTACCGGCCAAGAACGTAGTCCACAGCATCTAGGGTACTTTGAAGCCAACGCATATTGTGACAAGATCAGACAAGCGTTTCGACACAGTTATCAATATGAGATCGATAAGCATAGCTCCGAATCAACGATTTCATTCGGTTGCTCCCGGGATGTCCTTTATGGACGTGGTGAAATACGAGTCTTCGCAGTTCCTCTGGTATGACCACGCGCTCTGCGAACAACAGACAGTCGTCAACAACGCAAAGTGATGGTCGTCTTTGATAAAAGTGAAGCAAGTTTTTGATTTCAATACTCCGTGGCCACTTGGAGAGGTGGTACTTCTTTACTTGACTCAGCAGCAGACCTTGTAAGGTTGCCTTTCTATCAATTCGAATGCAATTGGAGTATCTTTGATAGCTTCCATAAGTGTACATCGTATTTCCCGTTCAGCAGAGATTTGAGCTGTAACGAAAACTTCCGAGTCCAATGCTCCATTTCTAAAAACCTTGATAATGCATCTGCCTGACCGATCTTGTCAGTCGATTCAAACCTGATGTTGAAGTTGCAACCGAGTAAAACTGTAGCCCACTTTCGAAGTCCAATGGCAGAATAGACAGGAANCGAGCAAGCACGGCTAGTAATGGTTTGTGTTCAGTAGTTAATGTGAATAGGCCGCCATAAAGAAGCTTGTGAAACTTTTTCACAACAAAAACAATCGCCAGGGCTTCTTTTTGGATCTGACTGCAACTACGTTCTGCAGCTGTGAAAAATCGAACGGCATGGGCTATGACTTTTTCCGAGTCATCTTCGAAAGTACGTGAAATATCTGCTTCCACGCCATAGCTGGCTGCATCCGTCACAACAGTGGTATCACAGGACGAGTCGTACTGTGCCAAAAGTAGGTCGGAACTGAGCATATCTCTGATTTTCTGAAAACCGTTTTGGCAATCAGCATCCAAATACTACTGGGAGTCCCTGAGTAGCAGGCGGTTCAGATGACCACAGCTATCATGCATTGTTTGTTTAAAAAAAACACCGTAATGACTAATGTGTCCCAGAAATGACCTCAATGTGGGCAAATCCTTGTGTGAATGCATTGTTTTAATGACATCTACGTTTTTTGGGTCCGGTCTGTGGTCATGACGATCGATCATGAATCTGAGGTGTTCGGTGGAATCCATGAAAAAATGATACTTTTCACTGCTGAGGTGTAATCCATTGTCCTGGATTCCGTCCAGCATATGACCGAGATGTTTACGAAAACTTTATAGGTCAAAGCCGGTGATGATAATACCGTTCAAATAACCAACAGTGAATGATAGTCCTCCTAGCATAGTGTCCATTAGCTTCTGGAATATTACCGTTGTGGACTTAAGACCGAGTGGCAATGGGTTGCACTGGAAAAGTTCACGATATGTATTGGTTGTAAGTAGGTGCTTACTCTCATCTGAGACACAAACCTGCAACCATGCGTCATATGGATCCAAATGGACAAAATATTTCCCACCGTTTAGCTTAGAAAACAATTAATCTGAAAACGGCAGCGGGTATTGATAATCATCTACTATCGCGTTGGGACTAGTGGAAAGGCTTGCACATATCATGAAGTTACCACTAGGCTTTCTGACTACCGCAATCGATGCTGTCCATTCTGAATGATTCACTGGTTCAATAACTCCCTGATTTTGCAGCCTCAGTAGCTCTTGACCAAGTACAGGCAAGACAGTGATGGAGCAGGCCTCCTTGGGCGGAACACAGGTTTTGCATTCTGACACAAACAGAACGGCTTTCGTCTTTGAACGCTATCATAGGGCATCTCTGAACACGCCTGAGTAAGTTTTCAAAAGTGGTTCTGTCCATTTTGATGTTTGGGAGACATCCGAATTTATAAGTCTGCATTCAGTATTTAGAGGAATTTCCATCAGCTTTGGCAGATCGATCCAGTCTAGGCTGAGGGTCCAAATGTGGTTCTCCTAATATTACGAGCTCCGAATCTGTTGCAGCCTTTTGAGCAACGTGATTCGTTAGGGTACATTGATGTTCTTGTGGCTACATCATACAAGCAGTTGATGCAACACTAATTAATTTCATAACTGGCGACGATGAATTCAACCGGTGCTCTTTGATTTCAAGTTGGTGGTGCTGTTCCATAGAACGCAGAAAACTACGCACATCGCATGGGAGCGTCCGAAAACTGGCAGATATCCCGAAAAAGAAACCCTGACCCGATCGAAATCAAATCCAATATAGTATTTCATTAAAGCTATTTGCATCTGTGCACCTACAGGAACAGATCACGAAAGCCATATCCGGACTACGTAAGTGAATCCAATCTATGCTCAAAAGCCGAGAAGTTCTGTTTCGTCCTTATTGTGCAGTGTGCATTTCACGAAACTTCAAAGGACCCCGAACCCGCGACCTCCTGGCTAGCAGTTTGAACACCTAACTTTTCGGTCACGACCGACTGACCAGAAGTGTGATTAACTCGCCCGTAGACAGCGTGTAGCGCCACTCACTCTTCAAGCACGAAATCACATCACCTGGTCTGCTACTGACTGGCTGCTCGAGTGACAATTGCTCAATTGGAAGCTTCACTCGTCGCGTGAATTATTCCACGTCTGAGCTACTTATGGAGTGTTGTTTGATTGTCAACACCATTGATCCTGTTAACCGGTCCTGGGTTGGACAACGGAGGACCTCTCGGCGAGGTACTTATTTACAACCTAGGAGGTGCTGTCATCTTCACAGACTGCACACTGTCCAAATTCACCCCGTGTTGATTTCTAGCTAGAGCACATTCTCCAATCACATGGCCAAAATCACATCCAGCTTGAACTCTCCAAAGATCCAGGGACTGATTACTCGATGTCCTGTCAAGTGCACGAAGATCCAATCAGAAAAAGCACTTTTTGAATTTTTCCGCTCGCGTTTTACTTGGGACATAAAATCTTCAGGATGCACCCAAAGTGAATCTGTTTATTAAATGTACCATCACAGTCGGTTTGGTACCCACGGAACTCACACAGTATCAAGCAGCGTTGAGAGGAATCGCAACAGGTCCATAGTGTTTCAAACGATAACTGCCATTGAGTCGCATTCGACATGCGTGATTCGCTGTCGTCCTGATTGCAACGGTCCTATTCGTGACTATTCATCACCAACCAGCCGTGCACTAGATGCGAGCAAACTGGTAATTCGTTTGAACTGATGATCGTATGGTACACTAGTCCTGGTTAGCCATCACTAAGATGTTACGGTGAACTGATGACTAAGGTCCTCTGCGGGCTTGTTCTATCCACCATTCGTTCTTCAGGTCACATCAGCATTCTGTGGTTCAGTTCAAAATTTCTCCTGGCTGGATGGGCTTGAACGTTTTTTCCAGAGCTTTACTTTATTCTGTTTGACCACGAACAACGTCACATTGTCAGTTTTGTCACATCACTCACTTCCTACTGATTACTTCAGCCGGTACGCGCCCAGTAAAGCTTGAACCATGAGCTTCTGTTAAAGCCCATTGACCCCAGTAGTGTCGACCTCCTGTTGACAGGGTCCTCATAAAATTTCTACACATCCATCCAACATCACACTTTACAGATTATTTTTTTTCCCGACTATGGTTTGGTCTAGATCGCGCCGAAGACTTGTTCGCATTTCATTCAGAAATTTGCATCATTTTAATAAAGCGGAAAAACTTGGAGTCTCCATGACGAAAGGTTACTGGATCGTTGAGAAATCCAGTGTTTCTGACCGTGATGAAAAGACCCATACCCTATTGTAAGTTCAAAATAGCTTAGAAAGCACGGATATGTGAACACGGATGTATTGTGTACATGCGGCCGAACATATCCGTTTTCTAAACGAACGCACTCAGCTCCGTCCGGCAAACAGTTCTCTGATGAATTGACGAACGGATACGCTCGCGTGCACACTATCGGACACACCCAATCAGCCACTAAAGTCCTTCACCGCTACACTGAGTCAACTCTCGACCAGCTATAACAGAGTATTATCCTGCTATTTTCTGACAGCCTAACAATAAGGGGGATACGGTTTGTTGATGTCACACATCCGCGCACTTATCCCATACTTGAAGGCTAAAGTTTAAGGTAAATATCCTCGCCAGGTCGGGCGGGTCTACCAGCGCCTTGCTTCATTGAACACTGCCGCTGTTTGATCGTTACGGTCAAATCCGGCCGTAGTGTATCCAAACGTGTTCGAGTCTACGTCCCATTATCAAATCACACGGCGATTGACCTATGAGGACATGCGCCGTAACCCTGTGTTGCAGTAAAAACCTGTCCAGGCTTGTTTGTAGATGACCTGGGTTTCGTTTCACCAATCCATTATTACCGCTGCCACCGAGCATTCAGCTAGACCGTTAGAAGCGGGAAGTTTGCAAGAAAGTAATGTAACGCAGTTGAAACTCAATTGTATCTGCTTGTATGTCTATGATATGAGCTTGGCCGACCTTTTGTACCCCTGAATTCCGTTTTCGGTTTCGGTTTAATACACTTGTGTCGCTGCCACGCTCTTGTCTTCTTCCCTGTATCACCCGACCTGTGCGAATGTGTGCCATGTGTGCCGTCACTACATCCTCTCGAACAACGAATACCGATGACTTCTTCTGACGTCCCACGCTACAGTAACAATCCACCCCTTCCATGTTTTGGTTTCAAGACGCCCTGGTAAAAGTGAATTCAGATGGGTTTGTCAGCGGCCAAACAGATCCGCTTTATGGAGTGCACAACTCTGATGTGCTGATGAACGGACACGCACGCGTGTTAAACCTGGGACACATCAAACCAGCCACTACAAGCGTCATATCAACGGAAGTCGTTGGATAACCCGACGACCATCCCAAATGAAACCTGTGACGATCTGTGTGCAGGCTATCTATTTAGTGGGGGCGGAGCTTGGCTGTAAGCCACGTGCGCCATAGACAACTAGCATAACCGGAGTGTCAATATCATCGTTGGATGCGTCTTCTCCATTCGCCGAGGTGTAGAACTGGCCGTTTCTGACTATGACCATGTATTGCTCAACCGCATTGGTCACCAATGGGTCAGTGGCAACCACGTGACCAGTTGCTTCAGGTATCTACTCCCGGTAAGCATGGTGATCAAACATCTCTGTATTGGTATTTGCATCAAGCAAAGTACAGATGGGTTTGACTTGTGGAAATCTTTTCGAAAAAAGTCCTCACTTTGTTGTCATAGCGTGATGTGATGAATCTGAGCACACCGATTCGCTGGCAGAAAAGCCTAATCCACAGAATTCCATTTACCACCTGACGCAAATATTTTTGAACATGGATTAGCTAGGTTGCTGTTTGGTTGCATAGGACATAAATGAATGTTCAGCCCTGAAGAGGATGCCCTAGTGACCTTCCCTTCACACATGTTTCATTCCTTCACTGTGCCAACGGGTTTTGGCTAATCGCTTTCGTTTTTCGTGACAATAACGACCAGATGGAATTCGGAGAAGTCAGCAAGAGCTTCTGAACTAACTCATGAGTAGTACATGGTATCGCTAGGTGGCTTGGAGGAAAGTATCTAAGCGCCCCGCTGGCTGTCACCCATGGTTTGTTCAGCGAATGCAGTTGAGTCAATCGACTTAAGATTGCACATAAGCGCCAATGAAGCGCTTTTTTTCGTTGACAAGTCAACGTTTCACGATTCTAGTCCCTCAATTGAGTTGTAACATCCGTGTGACAACCTCCAGAGTGTTGTCGATCAGATGCCAACCCATCTTATCACACTTTCATCGGATTGGTCCACGTGATGACTTGTTTCAGTAACAACATCTCAACGAAGGTCATTTGTCTTATCAAACAATTGTTGATAATTATGTACACGACCTCGACTTTAGCGTAGAGGTAATGAATTGACAAGTATTACAAAAGAGACGGAAGTCGTGCCTGAAAAGCATTGCTGCAATGAGACCAACACGACTTACTATTCCCGCAGAACGCCAGTGTGTGTGGGATTCGCTTAAACTGGTGTGTGCTTACGGATATACAGTTCTGAAACTTCTTATACGCGACCAATTGTTCGATTCTGGAACCAGCTAATCACAATGAATTAGTCTTACGGGAACACTAAGTGGGATTGTCTACGGCACCCAACATAAAGGCTGATACCTGGATTTCACTAACTCCATTAGGTTTGCGCTAAGTACTTCAGAACAATTTTAGCATCCCTAATATGTCTCTCTCCACTTAAAGAGAGACTCTCTGAGTAGGGGCAAGTTTCTGCGTACTCCAAACTAAGTTATTCAATCAAGGTAGATGAGCTTTACCATCGTTCGATCACTTGGGTCATGCTACGTGATCCTTGGTTGAATGATGAATTCACACTTCATGTCGCATGTAGACAGCATAGTGATATCCGTATTCAGAAGGAGGAGTTATCACTGAGGAAGAAAAAGTAGATGAATGGGTTAAACCACTTGGCTATCGATTGCACATATAGACGTGAAAATCCAAATCGTGTGCGTCATGGGATCAACGCGAATCGCCATTTCACTCCGTGTTCGGTCTTACGTTTGTATAGACAAAGAACTAGGGAAAAATTTTGAGTAGGTTTTGATGGAAGGGCACGGTGATGTTGGTTGAGTGGTCAACGTCCCAAAATCATGAACTCTGTTTTGAATAAAATTTGAGATATTCATGATTAATGGAACGGTTTAGTGGTCATACTTTTAGTGCATAGCTTGTCAATAGCAACCCCCGCTCTGGCCTATTAACACATCACGTGTAGTTTCGCGATCACTACTTATCGGTTGTATTTAGCTGATGTGTCACCATCGAATCACCCTAACTTCGTCTCAGACACACTCGGCCTCACATGTGCGACTGTGTTGCTGGTCTTTGATTTATTCACAACAGAGGACTTGGACATCTTTTGGGAACTACTTAGTTTGTTGATTCACTTGGGGCTAGTCTGAGTGGGTTAGGACTAACTCCGTCAGATCATGCGATTCGGACGGAATGCGCTGGCCGACTCATTATGGTGTGGATCTTCAAAAGGGCTAAGCTTCACCGCTGTCACGATTATCTCAGCTTCGTTACTGCAATAGGATCAGAGCTTCGAGTGTGCCACACCAGACACATATCACGTGATCTGATGGTTTACCTAGACCCTGCACTGCGTGGATGACACACTTGTCGGACAAGACACAAGATTCAGCTGAGACAGGGCCCGACCAACACCGCGATGGGTCTGGCTACGCTGCCTGTGGTTGCATGCGTGGGTCGGAGTTGAGTTAAGACATTGGACCCTAGAACAGACCCTGAGGGAAACGCATGCCAAAAACGGTGGTCCTCCTTGTCTTGTTGGCGTTACCATGACACTCATCGTGGGCATTGCAAAGCGTGAGAACCAGTGTCAATGCGGTGGACTCGTAAACCCGAGAGTTGAAGGCACCGCCGCTCGAATATTTGGAACTGTGCCATCACCCAAATCGCTAGGCTAAATTTCTATTGCGGCAAATGACTCTAGTGAGTAAATGGACGAATGGGTGAGTACAAATTGACCACCATTTGCACTTCGCACTCAAGTAGCGAATGACCAAAAAATAGATTGGGTCCTGATGTGTTCAGTCACAGTTTCATTTGACTTGTAACTACAAGGAGGCCACGAGACTTTCGTGATTCGTCCTTTTATATGTCATCCGCGTGTAGGTTTCTGTGATGAACATGACTGATATTCTGTTCATTGCTTTATTCATTATTCTCTTGTTTTAATATTCCATATGCTGTACATATACGCCAATTCGAATACATACGTGCTGGTTGTTACGCTTCGCTAAATTCTGGATTTCTAGTTCGTCTGGTTACTCCGATATATGTGCGAAACTTAATTCTCACATTCTGGCGTCGCGATTTGGAAAATTCATCATGCCTGCCGAAATGGAACCATTAGATGTTGATTCAACTGCGCGTGACGTAGAGGATTATCGGGAAGGATTCGGCATATGATGCCTCACAAAATCCGATATGGATGATAAGCAACTCACGGCATATTTCCTACATTTCGTTGGCAAGGAGGCGTATACGTTGATCAAAAATTTAGTATATCCTGAATCTCCAATCGATATTTCCTACACTGCATTGAAGAAGAGAGTTCTTCAATACTTCAAGCCGATGAAATTCGTAGCAGCCGAAAGAGCTAGGTTCAATATGTTGACCCGCTCCCATTCTCAGTCGGTTCGTGATTTCGTATTGCAGCTGCAGACACAGGCAGCCAAATGTGACTACGGTGCCCAATTGGAAGACCAGCTGCGTGATACGCTCATTGCTGGCATTCAGCTGCCCGAATTACAGCAGAAGTTGCTGCTCTGTCCAGATTGGAAATTTCAAACTATTCGGAAAATATGTGCGCAGTATGAAGATGTGGAGCATGTAACGAAGACTGAGGAAGCAGTCTTGTTAAATTATTCTAAAAGAAATAATTCAAGGATGTAGGCGAACAACAAATTCAAACATCGAACAGATTCTCGTGCACCAAATTTACCAACACGTCCTTCACAGATTCACACTTCTCGATTTGGATGATCTCTCTTATCGCCAGAGCCACATTGACCAGGTTAAGTTCAATACCTGTTGTTTCAAATACTAATGAGTCCTTTGTAGATGATCTTATGACATATGAACAAAGTGTTGTATCCGAAGAACGCACTACCTGTGAAGAATCTGATGTTCCCTTAAGTCTAAGAAAGTGTGTCACTTAACTTCTGACCCAAATACTGACGTGAAGGCATTATCTGAAGACATCTCTACTCTTTCTCCGTCTGTTTTGTCCCAAACTTCGTCACATGTTTTTAAAACGTTGATATCGGTTTCTGGTCAAATACATACGTGCTACTTGTTACGCCGATCTGAACTCTTGATTTCTAGTTTGTCTGGTTATTCCGATATACGTGCGAAACTTAATTCTCACAATTTCCGTTTAGGCAAGGATGATGATGAAATTGTTGCAAGCGGTTTCTGCAAGTAGACTGATCTCACTTGACTGGTGGTGATGGTGCGTTGGTAGCGGAACAGGTGGACATGCCTGAGTGAATTTGTGCTGCCAGCTACTTACACAATTGCCCTGTTTTCTTCTCACTCGAAGGTTCTTTTGGTTGCTATTTTCATCGGAAAAGTTGAACTGAACGCCTATTTCCATCCTTGTCTGTTTCCTATAATATGGTAGCGTAATTTTACTTAGGATAATTGGGACTCTTAAAGTGTCACAGTCAACTAACCAGCATTGACCTAACTATCCGGTCACAGTCGACAAAGTTGACTGGTGAACTTTGACTTACATATCCGAGCTGCATTCACTCCGCGGTCATATTCCCTAACAATATGCCTATTCGTAGCGTTGCACATGCAGTACTAGCACTATGAACCATGCACTCTCCCGCAGACTGTCGGATAAGTAAGCTTGATATAACTTAGTTCAACGTCCAGTCACACTCAGCTTAGCTAGAGAAACGCCTTTGATAACGGCATTACGTACCAGCATACAGTGCAGAATAGCTGAGGCAAGTGTGTCACTTACACACGTACGTTTTCTGACCGGCAACTGGACGAAATTCCTTGAGGTGATGAACACTATTTTAATTCACGATATTCAATATGTATTACAAGAGTTCCTCGCACTATTTTGGCGCTGACTGCTCGCACGGCAGATTTCATACGGTTCGTTTGCTGTCTAGAAATGTTTGATCCTCTTAAACATATCCAAAGGCAGTGTATTCTGAAACGTGGAAGGAAAGCATTCTTGAGATGGAATTTGGTCGAACGGGCTCTTCACACGGAGATCAGTTACGCGGACCAAGGGGGATAAAACCGATACCAGGGCCCTATCAGTTTATATTCTAGGTAGTTACACATTAAGAAAGGGTTTTGATTTCTACGGTGGACCCGAACGAGAGTAAACAAAAGGGGGAAAGTAGATTTTATTTTCGCCTTTTCATACATGCATTGAGCGTACATTGGTCGAGTGATAGCAGCATACTTGCCTCGGCTATCAGGTTTCTGGAGTTGAAACCATAACACAGTCAATGATTTACGCCGTGCAGCTCTAGTAAGAAGGGAACTCGAGTTCAACTGCTCCTCCATTTTAACAGAAGTGCTGTGTAAACGAAAATTATGCAAATGTGAATTTTATTGAATTGAACGGGTGAATGTTTTGACATCAGACGCCGTATGAAGTAACTTGCGACGGTAGCTTGTCGTACATTTTGAATCTCTGATGCACAACCCATCTAATTACTGTAATCCACGGTAAAAGTAGACAAGTGACGACTGGGGGTCCGTTTTCTTCTACCAATGAGCCTCAACGATCCAACAGGACTGAGACTATGCTACACCACGCTGTGGAATTTGAGTGTCGACAATGTATGAGAGCGCTTCTTCGCCAGTGTGCAACACTCAGCTGTCCGCAAGTTTACTGCTGCTAAGTGAAGTCGCAGTATGCCGGTTCAAGATTCAATGTATCGGCAAAACGGTTTAAAGGTGAAGATCTGTGGTCAGGACTGAAAGAAGGGTGAAAAGTAGCGAACAAATTTGCCTAAAATTAAAGTAATTCAAGAGGCAAAGGGCCAGGATTAATACTACGGGAAAGGAGTGTGAAAGGATCAAACGGCTTTCTCGTAGCCCGGAAGCAAGATTCTTTCGAAGCGATCCGGGAAAATGATGTTCCAAACGGATTCTAAACAAAATCTGGACTTCTTCCTCGTAAGAGTTGGAACCACCTGTTCTGGCAGCTTACTTTGATCCATATTAACTTCAAACGCTAAAAAGCTGGCATTTTTAGTTGTGTTGGTTTTTTATTTATTTGCTCTCATTCTTTTGTCTATGGGAATGAAAAGTCACTTATCTTCCAAGACAATAGGGTTCGCAGCGATACTATGCTATGTTGGTGAAAGAAGGAAAACCCTCCGCCGCGGAGTCGTTTATAAGAGAACATCAAGTGAAGTTACAGACTGAACATTCGTCTTCTTCTTGAACGCGTCTTCTTGAAATTTCCTGGCTTTTCATTGACTATTGTAGCGGACATTCACATGTTCCCTCAACCAGTTTCACCTAATTTGTCCAGTACATGCGTGTGTACTAGATCCCGCGACTGACCTGCTATTACAAGTCAGTTCCTGTTTAGTACGCACGGAACGATTCATGTTTTTGTACACACGTCAAACCTTCCTGTATAAGGACAGAACACAATCAAACACAAGCCCACAAATCACGTGACAAACGCCGTTCCGCCCGCAACTTTAACCGATCACAAGTCAGTTCCTGTCTAGCATGCATCAAAACACACATTCCCACATTCACTGCAAACGCGTACAAATATATAATGAACCTGACAACACAACACCCACCACGCACCACGCAACGGAGATACGCAAGGCGCTCAACACAA